TGCCTTTGAGAGATTATCCACCATATTTTGAAGCTGCACAGCAATGTCCTCAGTAGTGGGTCAGTCTGCGATTTCATTGTGATGACAGTTTTTAGTATGGAAGTTTAGGGCCTTCATTTCTGGAATTATTTCTTTGATAATTCCCTTTTAACCATTTTTTTTCTCTTCTTTTGGTAACTTCTGATCTCTTGTTGAAGCTCCCATGTTGATCTAGGATTTTTATTTTTCTTCTCTCTTTTATGTCTTTTTGTCTCTGATTTCCCTTTGGGAAAATTTTTAAACTACATTTCAAACCATTTTAATGATTTTTTAACTTTAGCTATCATATTTTTATTTTCAAAAGTTATTTTTTATATAACTTTCAAAATATTACTGTGTTCTTATTTTAAAGTAGCAATAGTTTATCTCTCTGAGAATGTTTTTACAATTTTTTAAAAAAGATTCTGTTCCTTGCATTTTATCTGCCCTTTAGGGGCTTTAAAAAAAAACAACAATTTTTGGTCTGATGATTTTTAGAATATAAGTCATTTGTGTTAAATGTTCTTTCTCAAATCTTAGAGATAATTTGTCATTTGTTTATATCTGCATGTGAGACTCTTTTTACCCTGTTTCCTCGAAAATATATTAATTTTTGCTCCCAAAGATGCGCTAGGTCTTATTTTCAGGGGATGTCTTATTTTTCCATAAAGAATACGGTACACATTTATTGTTAAATGAAAATAAAGGAAATTTATTACCTGTATACAGTATGGTAGTATGGTAGTTGTCAATACAAACCAGACAAACTGTGAATCCCATAGTATCAAGAATTTATTCATTTATTCAATGACAATCATGTCATCATCTTCTGGAACATCATCATAACAATCCAATTCCTGAATTTCCTGGTGACTCCATTTCTTTCAGAATCAGTGGACCAAATCTCTCATGTTTAGCCTGGGGGGGGGGCTTATTTTTGGGGGATGCCTTATATTTCACTCAGAAGGAAATCTGTAAGTAGGTCTTATTTTTGGAGGATGTCCTATTTTCGGGGAAATAGGGTAATGAACAAGTGAGGCACTATTTATATACAAGCTCTTTGCTTATGAATTTTAAATTTCATTTAGCCAGCTTGTTTTTTTAATTTTACCTTTATTGTTGGAAGTATTACATATGTCCCACATTTTCCCTCATTAACCTCTTCTAGCCTGCTCACATCCCCCACCCCAGGTCTTCATACTATTGTCTATGTCCATGAATTGATCTCTTCCCACCTACCATCTACCCTGCCTTCCCTCTGAAATTCAACAGTCTGTTCCATGTTTCCATGTCTCTGGATCTATGGCAATTTATTTGATTCCACATGTGAGTGAGATCATGTGATTCTTGTCTTTTTCTGACTGGCTTATTTGGCTTGGTATAATACTCTCTCACACGTTGCCTTTGACACTTGATTAAGATTGCCTCGGCAGATTTCCAACCCTGCACTATGAATTCAGGCCCCATTGCAAAGAATAGGTCCTCATAAGCTGAGTTGATACTGAGAGTATTTCAGAATAAAATATTAACTCTCTAAGGAAACAGGCATGGCCCAACATTACCCAAATTTAATGTAAGTCTTATTTTCTTTTTAAAAATAGTGTTCAGTAGGTTCCCCCAAATTCACCACATAGCTAAAAGATTTGTTGCAGCAGGAAATGCAGAAAAAATACCACATTATGATTAATATTAGCTCCAACTGCAAAGGGACTTTCCCTGAAAGAGCAGGCAGAAAGACAAAGTTTAGTGAAATGACTCAGCAGCATGAAGAGGAAACCAGTGCAGCCTTTTCAGAGAAAATAAAAAGGATTTTTTTTTTTTTTCCACAAGAGCTCCCTTTGGATAACCAGAACACAAACCCAAGCAAGAGCAATTCATGTTCACCCAGAAAAAAAAAAACTCAGGAGATCTAAACTAAGGTTGCAGGAGTATAAATTATTTTTACTTCAGTTTAGTTTGAAACTGAAAAGCTGTAATAAACACCTTCAGGAATGTCTGTAGTGCTTTGAATTGCTGCCTTATCTCTATCATTCTGAAGTCAAGTTAACTTTTTTGGAAAATTTTCTAATTTAGCTTACATTCTACAACTCAGGTTTTTTTTGTGTGTGTGTGTGTTTGGTTTGTTTGGTTTGTTTGTTGTTGTTGTTTTTTTGTGTGTGTGTGTGTGTGTGTGTGTGTGGGTGTGGGGGGGTTAAGAATATGTAACACACACACAGATACACACACACACACTCACCACTATAATTATATATTCCCAAATATAAGGAGTGCTAACATAAAGCCAATAAATTGATAAAAGATTGTAAATCTTTTACCTTGTTTTTCTCCCCTTTTATTTTTAAGGTGTTTTGTGAACATGAAAATTTTTGTTTTATAAGAAAAACAAAACAAAACAAAATGTTGATTTCTTTCTCTTTCTCTTGGACACATACTTAGATATAATAAAATGTGTCATAAAAACTAGTTAATCCTATTCCAGTTCAAAAACTTAGGACATAATTACCAAATTTTAGCTAATTTTAAACAAATATAAATTTGTATTTTAGCTTTTGGTTATGGAGAACTTAAACCATGCATGAGTAAAGAAAATAATATATAAAAACAGGAAAGATTTTTACTGTATTAACAGACATGAGAGCAAAATATATAAAATTTGAAATTGATGAAAAACAATTGGGCAGTTTGAGTTGTCAGTACACTGGGTATCTACAAGCTTCATTGTAGATAATAGAACAAAGAAAAGCAAATGCTCAGATTTCAGCTTCTCTCCCCCTTGTGCTGTCAATCTGCCAAATCCCTACTTGAACTTGCTCATTCTGAATCTCAGATAGTTTGATATAACTCCTGAAATAGTTATTCATCCTCTACCTGTTATTCAAGGGGTTGATTCATCTTAGTAATCTTATTTTCAGCAGGTCTTCTGTCCAGACCAAGTGTTCTACTTTAAAATCCCAGGATTGGATTTCATGTTAATCACTGACTATGCCCTGTCTTGGCTTGTGATTTCTCCCCATCCTTATCGGCTCATATTAAAGCTGCATCTTTCATAATATCTATCTTTATCTCCAGCCCCAAACTAGATGAGTTCTTTCACTCTTTTTATTTCTACTGTATATTTAATGAACCTTTTATAGGATTCCATTTTCTCTTCTCTTAGTCTATCAACTGTACTTAAAAAATAATTTTAGTGGTTGCAGTTTGCAATGTACATTTATAAACGAAGTCCACTTTCAAATACTATCTATACTTCCTGTGTAGTGCAGATACCTTAATAATAGAGTATTTCTCTATTATTAATTCCTCCCTTCCTAACAGCATTACTGTCATTCATTTCATTCATTATGAGCTATATTACCTAATATATAATGTCTGTTATCAGTTATATCAATTAAAAATAGAAAACAAAATATTTTATTTGCCTTCATTTAGTCCCTTTCTAATATTCTTTCTCTTTAGGTAGATGTGAGTTTCTGACCTGTATCATTTTTCTTCTCTCTGAAGAAATTCCTTTACATATCTTGCAAAGCAGATCTACTCTCTTAATTTATATTTATATTAGAAAGCTTTTATTTCTCCTTCATTTTTAAGATGAGATAACGTTTTATCTTTATCCTATTAGGGTTTTATGCTGAGCCTGTGAATAAAATTGACCTTAGACAGATAAAGAAAAGAAACACATAAAAATTTATATATTTTAAGTGAAAAATTTACCTATGTTTTATGTGGCACATGAGCTTTTATAAGGAAGTAAAACCCCAAAGAAATGGTGAAATCTAAACAAAAAGGAAATTATGGAAAAATAACTAAACTATGTGGAGGTTAAAGGAAGGTGAGAATTATTTTAACAAGATCTGTTTTTACAATATTACTTTTTTAGGATATCTCACTGGATACAAATTTCTCAGTTAGAGTTATTTTTTCCTTTCAACACTTTAAATATAGCACATACTGTTTTTTTCTTTTCATGATTTCTGAAGAAAAATCCAATGTAATTCTTTTCCATCTTCCTGGATAGGTAATATGGTTTATTTTTATTTATTTATTTATTTATTTATTTATTTATTTTCTTCTGGCTTCTTTAAGTTTTCTTTTTTCTTTGATTTTCTGTAGTTTGAATATGATATGCTTAGATGTTGACTTTTTACTGTTTGCCCTGCTTAATGTTCTCTAAGCTTCATTTGTTTTAGAAAATGTTCAACCACTATTACTTAAAATATTGCTTCTGTTCATTTCTTCTTTTCCTTCAGGCATTCCCATTTCCTTCAAGTGTGTATGTTACACCTTTTCTAATTTTCTCATAGGTCTTGGATATGCTATTCCTTTTTTTATATGTTGCTTTTATCTTAAACATATAACTTAATCAGAACACAGCAGGAATAAATACATGAAAAGCCACAGAGATGGCCTGACACTTTTTCCTCTGCTACATTGACTAAATGGAGGTTTAATTAAAAATTACTATCTATAACCCAAAACACATTCAACCACATTCTCATACAAAGTGAGGCTTACACTTTAACTTTGCTAAGCAAGTCTTTTTTTACATAGCGCTAATCAAATGTTTATGAAGACAGAAAGAACATTATTGTCATTTCAAAATTATTCAGATGGTTGTTTCAAACATTTTACCCACTCAGAAAAGGATGTATCTTAAGATCTATTTTCTACAGCTCCTTTCCCCACCACCTCCTTTTTGAGAAAAAGTGGGATATAAATGTTGCTTAATCCATAAGTACTGCAGTGAAGAAGTGTGGGATATTTTAAGGTGTAACATTTGCCTTTCAGCTTAAAACATGGAGTCTAGATGTAGCTACCACCACACAGCCCCAACAAAGAACAGGCCAAAATTCTCAAGAGTTGGAGTGCGTTATTTATTCTATTTTAACATTGAAATAGTTAAAGAACAGTGCTGGGCCACTGAATTGTACACTTTAAAGTAGTTAATTGTGTGGTATGTAAAATTCACTTCATTTTTTTTTTTCAAGTACTGGATGCTTTGAAGGCTTTAGAAATTATGCAGAGGGAGGTGCTTTTAAGCGGTCCTTTGTAACAGGGCACAACAGTGGATCTCAGTACCAAATAGAAGCTGGAACAACAAACTGTTCTAGGTACAGTATGTTCCAGGGCCAGTTTGGAGCTCCCAGGAAACTTTAGAATAAATGTAACATGTGAACTTGGGCTAAGAAGAATGTCAGGTCAATAGCTACTTTAGAAAGTTTGATCTGAAGAAAATGGATTGATTCAACAATTTCCAGTGACTTCATGGAACTTCTAGGTACTTCAGTCATATTGTCCAGCCCTTTAGATTGCTTAGGCTTGCCCTCACTTTTAGGAGCCTAATAGTTGTAAACCAGATTCCTGCATAACTCATGGGATGATGCTATAAAACTCTGTGGAACAGAACAGATTCTCCTTAATGGATCCTAAATTCTCAAGAGTGACTCTTTAGGAAAAGCTCCTGATTAAAGAAACTCTAGGCTGGCATGCCCAGCAATATAATACTGATGGCAACAAATCATAGGGCAGAAAGGAAGTCCAAGGAGCAGTGGCTTCTTGCTCTATCAGCATGGTTTCACAAACATAGTATTCTTGAGTAATGACTTATACTTTGAAGCATTATCATTTTTAAATGTCATACTTGACCTCCCAGTTGACATATACAAGTCCAGGGAGTTTAAAATCCTTTAGTATCAGGAAATTAAGAGAGCTTCCAAACTAGGCATATTTTTTTTTTCAAATACTTTTTTTTCATTTTTTTTATTAAGGTATTATATGTGTACATATCTTACCATTGAAAACCCCCCCCATGCATGTCCTCCCTCCCCAGAGTTTTGCGTCCACTGGTTATGCTTATATGCATGCATACAAGTCCTTTGGTTGATCTCTTATCTCCCCCATGTCTCCCTACCTTCCCTGATGTAATTTTGACATTCTGTTTGTTGCTTTACTATCTCTATATCTATCTTTTTGTTCCTCAATTTATAATGTTCTTTAATATTCATAAATGAATGAGATTATGTGGTGTTTTTCTTTCATTGACTGGCTTATTTCACTCAGCATAATGTTTTTCAATTCCATCCAGGTCACTGCAAATGATAAGAATTCCTTCTTTTTTATGGCAGCATAGTATTCCATTGTATAGATGTACCATAGTTTTTGAATCCAATCATCTGCTTATGGGCACCTAGGCTGTTTCCAAATCCTAGCTATTGTAAATTGTGCTGCTATGAACATAGGGGTACATATATCCTTTCTGATTGGTGTTTCTAGCTTCTTGGGATATATTCCTAGGAGTGGGATTACTGAGTCAAATGGGAGTTCCATTTTCAGTTTTTGAGGAAACTACAACCACAGTGGTTGCACCAATCTGCATTCCCACTAGCAGTGCACAAGGGTTCCTTTTTCTCCACATCCTCACCAGCACAAAGGTTCCTTTTTCTCCACATCCTCACCAGCACTTGTCAGCACTTGATTTGTTGATGATAGCTGTTCTGACAGGTGTGAGATGGTACTGCATTGTTGTTTTGATTTGCATCTCTGGGATAATTAGTGACTTTGAGCATGTTTTTATGTGCCTCTTGGCCTTCCTTCTGTCTTCTTTTGAAAAGATTCTATTTAGGTCCATTGCCCATTCTATTTAGGTCCATTGCTCATTTATCTTCCTTTTATTAAGTTGTATAAGCTGTCTGTAAATGTTGGAGATTAAACCTTTATCAGTGATAACATTTGCAAATATGTTCTCCCATACAGTCGGCTTTCATATTGTTTTGCTTATGGTTTCTTTTGCTGTAAAAAAGCTTTTTATTTAGATATAGTCCCATTTGTTTATTTTCTCTTTAGCTTCCATTGCCCATGGGGCAGTATCAGTGAAGAAATTCTTTCCAAAAACTAGGCATATTTGCTATTAATCAAATAAAGAGGAAAAATGTGTTCTGTATCCCTTTATCTCCATCCCTGTTCTACTACATCTGCAGCAATTTTCCTAAAGGTCACATCTAAGAGTACAAAATATAAAAGACAAAGAGTATATTAGTTTAACAACTTGCGGGTGTGTGTCTGTTCACATAGCACATTCTCTTCTGGGGAAAACTGTTACAATATTTGTATAACCAGTTATGATAAATTTCTTAATTTCTCTCTGCTCTTCACCAACTTACTGCTTTTATATTTCAATTTGTTAAATAAAGGAAGCAGAATGACATAGTCCAACTAAGAAGAGAAACTTTCCCTATGTAGGTGGAAAGCTATTTTTTTTTCCAGTGTATATGTGAACCTGGTAGAAACTAGTTCATACCTGTAATATGGGCTCAACTGCCAAAGTCATATGCCATACACATTCCTTTGGTCTCAAACCTTCACATCTCACATAACATACTCACTAATTCCTCACGCTTACTGGGTTTACCTCTACCTCTCCAATCTCATCTCTGGCTTTTCCCAGACCTTCCCCTTCACTCTGTTTCCACATCCTCCTACCATACTTTCAAAAAGAAACATTTATTTCATTGTGCAAAGTTTTCCTTTGGATGATCAACTTATAGGAAATATGACCCAGGATTCCCAGGGCAATACCATAATTTCTACAATTCTTTTAGACAGTCTAACTTTCTAGTCTTAAGAAAGGACTGGAGGAAAAGCATCAGGGGGGTTAGGAATAAATACATGAAAAGCCACAGAGATGGCCTGACACTTTTTCCTCTGCTCCATCCACTAAATGGAGAATTAATTAAAGATTACTATCTATAAACCAAAACACATTCAACCACATGCTCATACAAAGCAAGGCTTACACATTTTTCCAACCTTCAGCCCTAAAGTTAATATATCTACCATCTTTCTCTAGTTCTCACTCATCATTCAGTAGAGTGGTCATCATGTTAACCACAGGCTCCTAACCACAGTGTCTTTTTTATTTTGCTTTGTTTCTATTGACATACCTTTAAGCTTACTGATATTATTTCCTTAGATGTGTCCAGTCTACTCATGAAGCCATCGAAATAATTTTTTATTACTGTCGTAGTGTTCTTAATCTCCCACATTTTCTTTTCCCCCTAGAGTTTCCATCTCTCTGCTTACATTACTCATATTTTTTTTTACATTTTTGTGCTCTTAAAGTATTAATCATATTTTAAATTCTCAGTCTGATAATTTCCAAATCTCTGCCATATCTAAGTCTAGTTTTGATGTTTGCTTTGCCTCTTCAGATTACACTATTTGCCTATTAACATACCTTGTAACATCTTGTTGAAAGCTAGACCTGATTTAACAGGTAAAAAAATAAACTGAGGGCCCTGGCTGGTTTGTCTCAGTGGATAGAGCAACAGCCTGGGGACTGAATGATCTCGTTTTCAATTTTGTTCAAGGGCACATGCCTGGGTTTCGGGCTCAATCCCCAGTGGGTGTTTGCAGGAGGCAGCCAATCAATGATTCATCATTAATGTTTCTATCTCTCCCTCTCTCTTTCTCTCTAAAACCTTTTTTCTCTCTAAAATCTAAAATCTTTCTTTTTTAAAAAAGAAAGAAACTGAAGTAAATAAATCTTTGTTGCGAGGTTTTATATTTATCAGCTAGGAGTTATTCTGTGTTTACTGTCTGCTATAGCTGGAACGGGTATTGACTCTTATTCTGAATGAAAATGACTACCATTGTGTGCCAATAAACAGAAGAGATACATGATATATTTAACATTAAAAAATATTTGGCTGGCTTATAAGGATTTGACTAAGAAAACTGTAGGAAGCTATTGCAATAAAGTAGGCAAGAGATAATGTAGCTTAGATCAGGGTAATCCTATGTAATGTTTGTTAGGGGCTAGAAAAAGAGAAAAGCTAAGTACGATATATTTCTGAGATCTCTGGGATGAATTATGAGAATAAGTCCTCAATAACAGATAGAAAAAGCAACAAATAGACTAGCTAGGTTTTGATTGAGAAGGGCAGAATTTCAGTTTGAGCATGTTAATTTTGAGATATCTATTAGATATCCAGGTAGAGATCCCAAATAGATATCTGGAGAACAGAAGGAATACTTGGTTAGAGATAGTTTGGAGAGTCATCAGCATACAGATGGCACTAAAAGACGTGAGAGTGCAAGGTTACAGTGGGCGTGAGTGTAGATAGGGAAAGGAAGAGAACCAAGACACGGAAAAGTATGTGAGCGGGCAGGGAAGGGTGGGTGGTGTGAAGAGAGAAGAAACCAGAAAGCAAATTGAGAAGAATCATAAGTAAGATATGGAAATATGTGAAGAAAATATAGCAAAGAGGAGCAAGTCAAATCTACTCTGTGAAGTGCTGCTGATATATCAAGTAGAATGAGATAGGCTTGCATACCTTTAGTAGATTTGGTACAAAAGTATTGAAGACAGATTAGTAATTCAAAACATCAAAGCAAACAAACAACAGAGGTTAGATAGCCTGACCTGGAAGCTTTTTCTGCCAGTAATAAAGTCCTTTTAAATTATTAAGACAATTATTTGCCCTCAGTAGCCACTGTGTACCCAGATACAGATTGGGATGAGCTCTAATTAGGGTGCCTATGTTGTGATGGATCAATTTAGCTGTTCCCTCAACTGAGAAGTGGTATGAGCCTGTGTATTGCTAGCTCTACAATTATTAGCCCACTTTGATCTAAATAACTAAAGTTTTAGAGTATCTAGAATTCAAGAAAGCTTTAGCAACAATTTCAAAAGTTTGGGTATCCTAAACCTTATACAATGAATTGATAAAGGTAATGAGTGTTCTTTAGCCTCTCCCTCTCTCTCTCTCTCTCTCTCTCTCTCTCTCTCTCTCTCTCTCTCTCTCTCTAATTTTTACAATATTTACCAACTTACAATAAATATTTTTTTTCATTTTTCTATTCAAGAAAATACTTTTTCATTCTGTGTCTTCAATAACTTTGTACTTAGAATGTACAAGTAATATGATACAAAGTACAGAGTTATATCGTTTTTAAAAACTGCATACATAAAGTTAATAGTATAAAAATAATAATTAGGTAATATTTATAAAAGGAAGTTCTATCCTATTATTCATTTTCAAAAGTATGAAGGAAGAAAGAATAGTGACAAAAAGGTGCATTGAGATATTGGGATGCAATGGTGGATTATGAAAACACTCTAAAACACTGTGTTAGGAAATTGTCAAAATATATAAATCATTATAAAATCCTGATAATAATAACGTATAACTTTATTTCAATGCGAGATCATTTTTAAGCCCCCTCTGTGGGGTAGTATATGGAGAGCAGATAATTTCAAGACACTATTTGAAGTGTCTCCAAAGTCTCAAATAAAGAGTTCTGGGACTATGGGCTCTTGAAAAAAAATATAGAGATTCATTAGTCCTCAATGATACATCAGATAAAGAATGCATTAGTGGGGGATAAGGACACATATGTAAGACTTTAATCAATAAAGGAAAAAAAACATTGGTAAGCATCCCACTGGCATAGGTAGGGCTCCTGAGAGGCTCCTCGGATTATGATCCATCCTGTGTCTTCCTTTCTGTCCAGGTGTCAATGTAGCTCCAGCAGAAAAAGAAAAAACTAAAAAGATTACATAATGATATCCATTTCCATATATTAACCTTAAGTACCTATATCCCATGATTTTGCAGTGTCGCTGTACTGCACATGATAACATTTTGTTTAAATAATATGTCTTGGGCCTTACACAAGGTCCTATTTGAAGTACCAAACTTTCTTCTAAGATAATTTTTCATATATTGTCTAGACTTTGAGAATGTAATAAAATAATATGATAAACCTTTTGGAGAAAAATACACACATACACATTATCACACATGCATGTATATCCATGTATGTTATGTGTGAGAAATTGTAAGGAAAAATGAGGAAATGATTAACACTAGAATCAGGAGAATTGTTACTCTTAGGCTGCAATAAGGAGGATGTGATTTTGGTGCAGTTCATAGGGCTCCAAGGTACTGGTTAATGTCTATTTTTCAAGCTGAGCAATGGGTTTACGGTTATCAGCATTATATATGATTGATTTCATTTTAAATTTTGAAAAAAGAAAAGTCACATATAAGGAATGTTTATATCATGAACACCTAGGGTGTTTTGTTGTTGTTGTTGTTGTTGTTTTGTTGAATTTACCCATGACACCTGGAGAGATCCTAATACCTCCTCACAGCAACATTTTGATGCACAAAATGTCATTTTTTTTTTCAGTCCAAAAGGATATAGTCCGCATCCTCCCCAGTTTAGATGTTGAAGTCAAAGACATTACTGACAGTTATGATGCCAACTGGTTTCTTCAGCTATTATCTACACAAGATCTTTCTGAGATGACCAGTAAAGAGTTCCCCATTGTGGCTGAGGTCATAGAAGCACCTCAAGGAAGCAAGCTCCTCGCCAGCATCTTACAGCCTGGGAAAACCATTGTGATTCACAAGAAGTATCAGGCATCAAGGATCTTAGCTTCAGAAATTAGAAGCCATTTTCCTAAAAGACACTTTTTAATCCCCACTAGCTATAAAGGCAAATTCAAGCGGCGACCTCGGGAATTCCCAACAGCTTATGACCTCGAGATAGCAAAGAGTGAGAAGGAACCTCTCCACGTGGTGGCCACCAAAGCCTTTCACCCCCGTCATGAGGAGCTTTCATCCGTATCCGTCGGGGACCAGTTCCTAGTGCATCACTCACAGACAACTGAAGTCCTCTCTGAGGGCGTCAAAAAAGTGGTGAATGTTCTGGCCTGTGAAAAAATCCTCAAAAAATCCTATGAGGCAGCACTGCTCCCTTTATACATGGAAGGAGGCTTTGTGGAGGTGATTCACGATAAGAAACAGTACCAGATTTCTGAGCTCTGTGCACAGTTCCACTTGCCCTTCAATGTGAAGGTATCTGTGAGAGATCTTTTCATTGAAGAAGACATTTTGGCTGCTACGCCAGGACTGCGGTTGGAGGAAGCTATCACGGACTCTTACCTACTCATAAGTGACTTTGCCAATCCCACAGAATGTTGGGAAATTCCTGTCAGCCGCTCGAATATGACTGTTCAGTTAGTTAACAATTTGTCTCAGGATACAGGATCATCTCTAGTCAGGACTCTGATCGAAGAGATCACTGAAGAACAATATTACATGATGCGAAGATATGAAAGCTCCTTCTTGCACCCCCCACCCCGCCCTCCCAAACATCCCTCTGTGGAAGAAGCAAAGCCACCTCTGCTAAGCATAGCAGAAGAGAGGACAGTGGGTCTGCCCAAGTCTCCCAAGGTAAGGCTATGGTTTTGCAGTTTTTCTTCTGGAATGTTTTTCTGGGTGCAATTTATTCCAAGTCTTTTCTGAGTTTATTTTTTGCTTACTTTTCTTTCTTTCATGCCATATTTGAAATGAGCCGTTCTGATGCACAATAGCTGAATGAACATCAACAGGGCATAAGCTGTTGCAGCATTTTGTACTTTGATGCTTAACCAGGAAATGTGACAAGACGTTTATAATGAACTAGAAGTAGCAGGGGTGACATTTGGATATGTTGACCCAAATTGCCATTTCGATGGGTTTTAGTAATTAGGAATGTTTTATACATTGCCTCAAAAGCAAATCTCTTTTCTGTTGAAAGAGCTGTTCATTTTTTTTTCTAGGTAGAGTTGTTTTAATACTTCATCTAGGAAATGAGTGCACAGAAAACTCCCTTCTTTGTGGTGGGGTGGTTACTAGTAGCATACATCTATAACACATGACTTCATTTTGTTTTAAGTGCAGAAAGATGTAAAAATATCTTGGCAGAACTATGTGCGAGCATATGAGCATCTGCCCACATTCTGCCAATCTGAGAATTGTAATCTTTTAACAGTTCTGTTGAAAAACAAAATCAATAAAATTGCAGACAGTATGAGATCATTACAGAATCAACAACTCCATAACCACTCTAAAGATTTTGGGAGAGGAGGGTTTGCAGCTTCATTTCTACTTGGAACTTTTTGTCTTTTGAAAAGTGCTGAGCTCCTGGAAAGCACTTGCCCTTACACCATGAAGTTTAGGTCCTTTATCTGGCCAGCAGTGGCTCTGTGGTGTGTGAAAGAAGCGCATCCTGGCCTGGCAGATGTGCTAGCAGCTTGGGGAAACAAAGCTATTAGTAAAACAAAGAGAGTGCTGTGTTTACTCCCTATACTCAGGAATGCTAGCTGCCTCAGGCTTCTGAGTATGTGGGTAAGGAACTACTTTTAATTCTGCATTTCAAAGATTGCATCCTATTGTATACTGGGGAAATTCAGTAAGGATCTTCAAACGCATCTTTCTTCCAAAGAAGATAAAACCATCCAAAATTTTCTTTCCCGAGAGAAACAATTTTGAAGCAGTCATTGCGAATTAAACAACTGTTCCCAAATTATGAAGTTGAATAACATGCATCTGTTAATGTGGAGGGTATTTGGCTTCTCCTGTTAAATATATCTTTATTACTGAACTGAATGAAATGCTGTTTTGTTTTGTAGTGGTGAGTAGAAGAATGCCTTCCACCCACAAGCTGTCCCTCCCTAAACCTTAAGAACCTTTGAATGTGTTCCATTGGATGGCTAAATAGACTTTGCACATGTGCTTAATTTTAAGGACCATAAAATGAGGAAATTATCCTGAATTATCCTGCTATGTCCAAGTTAATCACATCAGTCCTTTAAAAGAGGACTTTTCCCAGTTAAGATCTGGATTGGAGAGATCTGACTACAGAGGAATGATCAGAGAAACACAACATTGCTGACTTGGAAGGTGAAGGAAAGGAACAATGAGCCAAGGAATGGTAGATGATATCTAGAAGCTAGAAAAGACAAAGAAACCTCTTACCTAGTGCTTCCAGAGTAGAATTCAGCTATGCTGACTCCTTGATTTTAGCCAATGAGACTCCTGTAAGATTTCTGACTTACAGAACTCTGAGATAATAAAGTTGTATTGTTTATGGCACCAAATTCATGTTATAGCAACAATAGAGAGTTAATATAGGACACAAAGTTGGGTGGAAGGAATAAGTAAAAACTTTAGATGGAAAAATCTACATTTGTTAGAACTAGTTGGGTACAATTAAATTCCAGGGACAATTGGAAGCAGGATTTGAACACAGCCAGAGTGGACCATACTTTTCATCACAAATTGGTTTATTTTCACAGGCTAGTTTTATTCATACGAAGCACACTACTGCTGGCAGTTCCTGCAACTTAGAGTTTCATAACCAGGGAAGAATATTATCTCTTCGTTTGATTCCAACTTAAAAAGAGAAAGACATTGTATCACATGTCTGTCTCCTAGTGCGATCAATTCATTGGCTGTCCACAAAACAATCAAGATTGGTGAGGAAGAGAATGAGGACTGGTTGTCTCAAATAACAAATACAGGAATAGTATATGAAGATCTAGAGATATTGTCTATTACAATAAATGTCTATTACAATAAAAAGGAAAGAATAAAAAAAAGTCCTTAAGTACTAAGAAAGCATTCATGGAAAAATATGTTTAAAAAAATTTAAATGCCTTTTGACAGAATGTCAGATGAAAATGGTGTGTTTTGTTGAGAGAGAAATTCATAAAACAGCAGTGCTATGTCTAGACTACTGCTTGGAAAAATTTCCTGTCTTCTCCCTATGATTCTCCTTTACTATCATATGACTACCACACTCATAGCACATCTAACACCAGCTCTGTGGGGTTTCCCCACACCAAGCAATTCTGCAACACCAGGTGGGTATCCTACAACTCAATTCTGACACTATCTACCAGCACATAATGTCAGGTCCCACCAGTTCATTTAGGCTCAGTCCCACAAGACTGCTCCCACCCTACTTCAGATGCTGTTCACAAGTATTAAGTCCTCAGGTTACACACAACTTCTGTTGACTACAAATCAGAGGCTGCTGTGACCTGCTCTTTGGATTCTATTAACTTGCTTGAGTGGCTCAAAAACTTAGGGAAATAGGTGCTTTCATTCACTATTTTATTAAAGGACTGGTAGCCCAGTGCACAAAATCCATGCACATTAAAAGGGAATTAATTAGAGGAAATATTTTAATATTGCTATTTGTCCTTTCTCTATAATAGAAGTGTCAGAAATGAAAAAAATTAGTAAAATGTATATGAAAATTTTCCTCCTGTCAGAGTCTTGGGCATGCCATGGGGCCCCAGAATCAAGTCCCTGCTCACCCGCACACACCTTGAAATCACATGAGAACCAGACCTGGCCAGCCCCACCCCCATTGGGCAAGATCCAAACCCAGCCAGCCACACCCCTGTCAATCCCCACCAGGCAGTGGGCACAGCCTCAGGTTCCCTGGCCTAGTGCTGGGTTAGGGGTGCAGCCTCAGGTCCCCAGACCTGCACTGGACAGAGGATGCAGCCTCAGGTGCCCCAGTACCTGCCAAGTGGAGATGCAGACTCAAGTCCCCTGGCTCACTCCAGGCTGGAGGCACAGCCTCAGGTGCCCTGGTGTACCTGGAGGTCCCCTAGCCCTGCACCAGAGAGGGGAATGTGCCTTGAGGTCCCCTGTCAAGCCCAACCAGGTAGGGGAGTGGCCTGAGGTCAACCATCAAGCCCTGCTGGGTGGAGGGTGCAGCCTCAGGTCCCCCAGCCCAAGGTGAAAGGTGTCGCCTAAGGCCCCCAGCCAGCACCGGTGTGCCTTCAGGCTCCCTGTCAAGGCCCATTTGGTGAGGGTGCAGCCACAGGCCCCCTGCCCCCAGCTCCACGCAACCTCAGGTCCCTGCTGATTGCTCGTTATGGAAACCCTGCCTCTTCTGTGGGTGCAGCCATTTGTAATGGTGTCATGATCAATATGCGTATATAATAAGATGGCAATATGCAAATTGACCATCATGCCATTGCACAAATGGCTGCCCATGCAGTCACAAGATGGCCACAACAAGATGGTCACCACAAGATGGCTGGCAGGAGCAGGCAGTTAGGGGCAACCAGGCCAGCAGAAGAGGGCAGTTGGGGTGACCCGTCCATCAGGGGAGGGCAGTTGGGGGCTATCGGGCCTGCAGGGGAGGAAGGGAAGTTTGGGGCAATCAAGCTGGCAGGGGAGCAGTTAGGCATAGATCATGCTGACAGGGAAGTGGTTAGGGGGTGATCAGGCTGGCAAGCAGAAGTGGTTAGGAGCCAGGCAGGCAAGCGAGCAGTTGAGAGCCACCTGTTCCGGATTGTGAGAGGGATGTCAGACATCCCCCAAGGAGTCCAGATTGAAGAGGGTGCAGGCTGGGCTGAAGGGCATCCCCCCCCCACCCAGTGCACAAATTTTGTGCACCAGGCCACTAGTATAGGATATAATAAAGGGTACCGATGAACAGACAGGTGAAGAGATTCAGAAGATGAGCTCTGGGAGGGTTCTGAGTTCAGGGGTGTCTGTTCCCTGTCATGTTTGGATGTACCACTGTCCCAAGATGTGGATGTTGTCACCCCAGAAGCTCTCCAAACCCCATACTTTTGGGATTTTTGTGGAGACTTCCTCACATAGAATAGTCAATTATTAACTCCATTTCTAGTGGCTCTTCCCTCTATGGAGAACTGAATAGGCTGGGCTGAAAGCTCTAAGCTTCTAATTATGGGTTAGTCTTTCTAATGACTAGCTCTCATCTAGGAGCCATCAGGACCCCACCCAAAGCATCCTCATTAGAACAAAAGGCCTTTCTATCACCCAGAAATTCCAACAGATTTAGAAGCCCTGTGTCAGGAAGCAGAGTCAAAGATGAAGCATTAGAGCAAATGATGCTCCTATGGCTCTTATTACTTAGGAAATTACAACAAGCATTTCAGAGCTCTGCACCAAGTAGACACCAATACATAGAATTTCTGTTATCTCACAGATAGTAAAATAAGACTATTGCAATCTTGGACTAAATTTATACATGTAGGATTCCAGATCAACTTATTAATTCCTAACTGTTTCTTCTCTGGGCCAACCCTACATGGATTCGTGTGTCTAGTTCTGAGTTCCACTTCTAAAGAATATTGATTAACTGAAATTTTTAGGGATGTTAAGAGTCAGTTTGAGATGTTAAAAGGTTAAAGACCCATTTTTATCTGAGGACCTATTGAGGAAACTGAGAAAAATAGTCTAAACTTGAATGATTGGTACTTGATGACATTAGTTATTTTACATATTCAAAGAGATATTCGGTAGTAAAGAGTACATTCTTATTTTTCATTACAAAACTGGTAGGGGATAATTTTGGTGCAATGTGTTAGAATAAATTTATTTTCCAAAAGAGGTTATATTAAGTTCAGTGATGTTTTGGG